CCGGCTCCTGCTCACCCCCCACGACAGATTTCACACTGTGTCCAGGTCAGCCAAAAAAGGGGAGGAAATGGAGAACAGCGGAATGATTAATTCTACCTGCTTTTCCCATGAGTGATCACCTGCTTTCGGGGTCATGAATAGCAGGTAGCTCTCCCCGTCTCCAGCTCTGAGAGGCTCATTTGTTTGGTGACAGCTGAGTGACAAGACCTGAAATCCGAGCCCTCAACTTTGCCTGATGTGTGGATAAAACCCTGGATGTTCCCTCAAACATTTCAGGAAATGAAAGTTGTAACGCGATCCCTTGTGCGCCCACATCTCCCCCAGCAACACACAAAAGCTCAAAGGAGCCTTCTCGGATTAAATTCAGCCTGGAGAGGATGGAAGGAAAATGGAGAGCAGGCTGAGAAAGCTGGAACTGGCAGGCTTTTCTTCAGCACTTATTGGAAATGTCTGTCCAAAGCTGGGATTTAGAAAGGTCACCTCTACCGTAAATGTCTCTTCCTCCGGTGGAGTCAGACGGGCAGCCTGGTGCTCCCCGCCCTCCCTCCACCTTGGGGGTCCCTCCCTCCACCTTGGGGGTAGCCCAGGGAGGGAGGGAGGGGGGGGGGGGGGGGTGTTACATTTAGATTCCCTGCCCAGGAAATTCAGTGTATAAAAACAAACACCCAAGGAGAAAGCCAGCTCCCCTCCTCTCTCCTCGTTTCAATTCCCTGGCCACACTGAGCCAGCATGTGGCCAGCCACTGGCTCTGCCCCTGCTCTGCTGCCACCCCCTGCCTGGATCCCCTTCCCCACTGCCCCCTGACCCTGCAGAGGGGCAGGTCCAGCCCTGCTCTTGTCCCCCACAACCCAGGGCCACGTGCTGGCAAATCCTCCTGAGGAGTCCGTGGTGAAGAGCAGATGCTCACTCAGCTGATGGATTTAAATTCATTATTTCCAGACCTGGTTGCCTACAGCTCATGCATCCCCAGCTGCAACATCACGATCCATGAGTAGCGATGTGGTCAAGACACCTTTGGGCTCTGTGTCTTGGCCTGCTCAGCCAGAAATCAGAGCTTCATTTTGAGCACACAGGTTTGGAAATGTCGGTGGCTGGAAGGAGGCAGGGTGTGTGGTACAGGCAGCATTGGGCCAAGGCGTCTGGGCTGCCTCCCTCTTGGGTAGATGGATTTATCCAACTGCCTGTCACTAGGCAGCCAGCAGCTGTTATCCAGCCTGAAGATAAAGTGCTATTTAACAGTTGTTTAACAACTACTGAAGTGCTTTCAGTCTATGCAGACCTGTAAAGAACATGCCCCAAGATAATTCTTCACCTATGAGCTTCTCCTGTGCCCCTGCTTCTCTTCAGAAAGGAGCTCTCAGACTCTGCACAGGCACAACTGGAAATCCTCCCTCGTTTTGTACCCAGTAGGCTTTGCTGTAGGTAATTTTGCATCCAAGGAAGAGCTCCATGAGGGGTGACGCTGCGGGAGGCTGGGTGTCTCCGTGTGCTGCCTTCAGAGGCAGGTGCTTTGCCCTGCCCAATGCACGTGGATGTTGTCAGCAGCAGCAAAAGCTGCAGAGGTGCAGCCAAGGCAGGGCTTGGCCAGCCTGGCTGCCGCAATCCATCTGCAAGGGGTGGATTTTGCTA